TCAAATGTTTGGCTGCTTCAGTCTTACACAGTATGGAAGGCAGATAGAGCCAAAAAAAATTGGAAAAGAAATGGAACCTATGAAATTTGACCTTCAATACGCACTGTTCATCCCTGTTAACGCGGCAATTTTGAATGCTTTCTTTTGTATGTGTAGACAAGCACATTCTGCCCATGTTAAGGCATCAGTTTTCACTGATTCTTTAGTACATGTAATGTACATGTAACTACTTTTACAATGTTACAATGTAAATTAAGAATGTTCAGCCTGAGAAAGAATGTGAAAAGACATGACAAATGATGACATTTGATGTTTGCATGTGCGCATGGCGTGTACTATTACAACATCCTTAATGAATAAACATGACGTCTGATGTTTGTATACATATATACCAATGTACCATCACGTCAAATATGCGAATATAGTCTTAAATACCACAATTTCATTGGCTGCTGCGCATGTTGCCACATTAACACGAACAAACAGTGCCTGCTGACAAAGTCAAATTTCACACTTACCATTTAAAGAATTTTGGCACTTCCTGCCTTCCATAACCTAGCTCTTTTTCTATGTTAAACTGATGCTTTGCACTGAAATTTGCATTCTGCTTCTGTGAACCACAAATCCTGTCTATTTTGAGTTGATTGTCAATCTTAATCATTTTGACACTAACGAGCACTGTTAGACTGCTGATGCAGACCATCCTAAAAATGTAGCTAAATGGAGTGCAGCAGAGCAGTGCAAGGATTTCAAATGTTAATTTTATAGGTTGATTAAAAACATGTGGCTCACCACTAGTACAGCATTGAACTTGGAATATGGAGCACCCATGAAACATGAGTTGTGACATTGGACAAAAGTGCAAAGCCAAGCTAATATGGCGTGGCTGCATCAGAAAATGCATTTTTAAAGTTTTCTTTTACTCTTTAATTATCCTTTTGCTTTTGGGTAGGGTTTTGTAACATTTAATTTCATAAGCATTTCTTGAAGCAAGAACCAACATAAAGCATTGCCACAGTCCCGTTCATCTGTTTTGGTGAAAATTTAAGGCTTTTTTATTACTTTATTTCAGTTTCACATTGAAACTACCATGAAATGTGCATGAATCTGCAAAATATTATTTTGAAAAAAATAAAATAAAATAAATCCCTACTGGCTCCTTGCACTGACAAGCTAAACTGAAAAGGAGGAAATGCTTAATTTATTAAATCATCTATTTTGAAACCAAGTGTAGATAATCAAGTCTATATAAAAAACAAAAGAAAGAGCATCATCCGATGACATTCATATGTTTCAGCTGTCATTCTGTGTTGGTGATCTGTAAAAGCAGTAACACATTCATACACGCTAAATTAGCACAAAGAAAACCACACTATTTCTAGAGGTGTAAAAAAGAGGATCTGTCGCTGAATAATCACTGAGGTGAGAAACATCAGCTGTTTGGTGCAGATTTTCACAAAACAGAGAATTGTTGGGGAGTGTTAGATGTATTTTTTGCATATGGTTAATATTTGCACTCTGCAGTGCAACAGCATGGCTGTACAATTCTGTATTTCACTAAAGATTAGTCTTTATTTTTAGGTTTTTATGACTGGAATTAGTTTATTTAACAATCCTATTTCATCACAGAAATACAATAATTTACTATAGTTTGCTTTGCCCCAGGATTAATACATTTCAAAATGAATAATATTGTAAGAAGATTTTACTTATAAAATTATATATTGTCATTAATTTGCCATGCAGGAAAAATAACAGCAAATAAACTACCACTTAAAAATACATGGTAAAACCTACTTGGTATAAACAGACGAGCATTATCAGCTACTATGGGGTTATTGAGAGTATTAGCTAATGAAGAAGACAACAAAACTGTGACTTAATTAAGAGTTTGATTTAGTGCATAGATATTTTACACAGTCATGCTGCTGATTGAACTAATGAATCTACGCTTCGGGTGTATTTTCTTTGTGATATGTGATTCATACGGTCGTGATGGAGACTGCTGGTTTGCCAGTGGCATTTAATAAAGAGAATTACTGCTAATGACCCCAGGGCATGATACACACATCACACAAACACACACATATACAAAACTGACATTCATCCATGCTTCTCTACTGGGACAAAACAGTCTGCACAGTTTAAAATAAAATAATGAATTAATGAATTAATGAATGAATGAATGTGTACAGTATCAGGAAATATCCATCCACTTTTTGCTAGTCATATATACTAGCATCAAGATATCTAAATGCATTCATCTGTTCAGCATGTTCAGAGGTGTTTACTTCTGCTGATAAAAGTGTCAACACTGTCAGGTACAAAAAACATGTACTCATATATATAGGAGCTTTAGGAGTGCTAATGCAACATCATAATTTCAGGGCTATATTTCTGTTATCAAGTCGAAATGGTGCTATTGTCAGAATCTAATGGCACATAAAATTGTGGGACATTTGGCTCCCATTAGCATTGCAGATTTAGCATGTTAACACACTGAAGCGTCTCATGTTCTACGTGTTCTTTAAGTCATCTCTGTCTGCGGTGTATTTTTGGGCAGATGGGCAGCAGTAGTTGGATGTATGCGTGAGCTGAGAGGGGCAGGATGCTGTAGGGAGGCCAAGCAGCTGACACAAGTGCTCAATACAAACAGCCATCGATCTACATTCACTCTACTGTACATGTTAGCAATCACAGCAGATAGAAATCTGACTGACAGTGAAATAATGACACTATTCTTCAATCGTTGGCTGTGAAAAATCAGTGTTGTTAATCAGCTGACCTAGAACCATTCATCACAATGGCAATTTTTAGATATTGCAGTGTCTGTTTGAGAGATTCCCTATAGTTCAGAGACTGAGTCATTGTAGCTATCACAGATTCACAGCTTACATCAAGCAATTAACACACAAAGCCCACAGTTTGTCAGCCGGCGTCCTACGTTGCCTGCTCTTCATATTAGTCACCACTGCGGCTCCTGACTGTTTGTCAGATTCAAGGAAAAAAACTGATTCCAGCTCAACTGGAGCATTAGAGAAGAGACTGTCGGGTCGATATGAGGACCTGTTTGTACTCTTCACAGACGACTGATCGATGACACCTTGATTCTTATTAGGACGATCCTGATGTAATCTCTGAGAAGATATGGGATGTCATGTTGTTCAACAGTGAGAACTGAGCTGTGAGATCAAGTTGATTTTCACGCTTTTGTAACAGTCTCACACCACACAGTGTTTTATGACTTCATTTATTGGCTCTCTTCTCTTAGATGGCTCAAAGTATACTTCAGCGAATGTGTATGCGTGTACAGCCTTTGAAAGTATCCACTTTAAAGGGGTGGTTGATTGCGATTTCACTTTTTTAACAAAAGTTAGTGTGTAAATGTTGCTGTTTGAGCATAAACAATATCTGCAAAGTTACGAAGCTGAAAGTTCAATGCAAACAGAGATATCGTCTTTTAAAATTCTGGCAGTTTAATGCCTACAAAAATGGCTGGTAGGGACTACAACAAGTTTCGTGACATCACAAACCCAGATAAACCCCACCCTCGGGAAAAGGCAGCAAAGGGGGCGAGGCCTGCGCTGCTTTAGAGAAGAGGAAGAGAAAACTAGAGGTGCACGTAAAAATCTATTCATATATGAATCGCGATTCTGTCTTCTAATGATTCTAATGGATTCACAAGTTTCATAATCAGTGTTCTAAAGCAGTGATTCTTAATACTGTTCCTCGCGTTGCCCTGCTCTGAAATATAATGCTTTTTTTTTTTAAATGAAGCATTAACATGTTAGACTGCACCCCATAAACACAATCAAGCCTAGAAAAAAAACAGTGAACCACCCCTTTAATTTGTAACACGAAAGCAAACTAGTGTGTTTATGAGTATGCTAATAAATGAAAAGAATATGATACCAGTTTGCAATATCAAGCAACATACCAGACATTTTTGTACTTGTAAAATGACTGGAACTGAATGTCACAGGAAGCTGATGGTGCATTTAAGTTCTCCAGGTGTCAAGTGTATTCCAAGTCATTTTTGTGAGAGCAAGATGGCTATGTACCCTTTCTACATAAAATTCAGCAAGCTTTTTTACTCTACTTCTAAAACTTTTTTTAATAAATACATGAAGATTCTGTCAATTTAATTGGAATATATATTCTATTATTATTGTACAATACAATAGTATTTTGGAAAAGAAAATACTGCCCGTATTTTTCCAGTATTTACACAGCCATGAACAAAACGCTACATTTTTCAGAACAGTCACCTGGCAAATATTCACAAAAATTCACAAAATAGTTTGGTGTCGAATTCAGTTTTAAACAGTGTTTCTCAGAAATCACTTTACTATACCTTTAATCGCCTCACGGAAGCACTCGTCCACGCTGCTGCTGTTGCCTTTTTCTTGTAGTTTGTTGTTCCATCTCATCATCGGTGTCTTGTTCGACTGTGAAACTATTGGCCTTGGTGACAAGCTAAGGCACATTTGCGCGAATTCTGCGTAAAATAAAAATTTGAGTGAGTAACTATGCCGATGGTGAAATGGACTAATATTGACAGCTAACAGTTGAAAATGATACTGCAGTCCAAATTCAAAATATCAGAGAAAGTTGTCTCAACTTTCTACCGTCCCCTCCTCCTCACGTGGGTTGCCAGATTGAGGACACGAGCGCAAAAGGAAGGAGCGATGGAATGCGACGAGCCTTACACGTTAAGTTGATTAGTTGATTCATCCACGTTTTAATATGCCTCTGGTCATATAACTTTTTAGATGGATGCCAAGGATTTTTAGGTCGGGTAGAATCTGCAATCTCTGATCCAGGTTGTTTGCTGGCTTCCATGACTGTAATATGCTGTGTTTTCCACCAACTGGCAACCCGGGGTGTCGAAATACTATTGGTTAAATAGTCAATGGGCGAAATCACACAGACCAAAACAAAAACAGACAATCTGACACGGAACACACATTTCAAATAAGAATAACTGGCTATACCAGGGGGCTGTTTCATAAAACAGGTTTACCAAACAAGCCAGGCTTATTTAAGTTATTCTGACTTATTCTGAACCAAATAAACTGACAATAAGTCAGACTAACTAAAATAAACGTGGCTTATTTGGTAAACTTGTTTTATGAAACAGGCCCCTGGTGACCTTAGCATGTTTCCTAAATATTTGCAAACACATTATTGTATTTTAATTAATGCTTTAGTACAGTCAAAAAAAGTATTAGTAAAAACCAAAATACACTTTGGGCTTTAGTTAAACATGATTTTGTGCATGTCATACAGTTAGGTAGTTATATTTCTTTATATTTTATACTTAATAAGGAACATAAGTGTATTTTTTTTTGTTTGTTTGTTTTGCAGTTCTCTCATGGATAATTAAAATGATCATCAAGATGGTTCTGAAGTAATCACACTGTGAGAGTTGAAGACATGGAAAACATGGTATGTGATTTTATCTTAATGTACTATTTAAAGTCGATGTTCTACAAGTATAAAAGATAAACAATCTATAAGAAGTGAATGAGTGTTTTTAGTAGTAGATAAATGACATACATATCCTAGAACATCCTAGAACAGCTATTTTTTGCACTTCAATCCAGTATTTTGCTTAGCTGACCTGCAGCTATTTTCTTCTATTTAGAGACGAAGGAGCTCTCTTGTCTCCAACCCACTGGAGCTTCAGCCCAAAACCAGCAGTGCCATTCGCCCCAGGTTCTCTGGGCCACTCCTGCTTCCACCTTTGGCCCGCAGACACTCCACCTTGGATGCCAAGAAGTTAAAAGACCTAGAAGCACTGTATAAATCGGCCCTGGCCTGTGCAGATGCCCAAAAAGAAACAGAGTGAGTCATCTTACACACCATAACGTTCTCTGCCAAGTAGCTTTAGTTGTACAAAATCCCAACTGATGCGGTCAAAGCTATTCTTCAATAGACCTCTGCTGATTGAAGCACATCCTTAGAAATCAAAGACAGACTGCTGCTGTCACGTGCCGAGTGGTTTCCAAAATGAACACTGAGTGTGCAGTTACTGACACTGTGAGCAAAATGTGACTCAGTTCAATCATGATGCTTATTGTTTTTATATAAGCCGGCATAGTGTGCACCACAGTGTAATGTCACTGAAAAGGTACAAAGATCTGATCTGACAGGTATTACAGGGCATGAAGAGAGCTAGATACAGTATAGACAGATTTTTTGGAGTGGGAGTGTTACTTCTGATACCTTTTCCTCTTTTGTATCTAATACATTTGAATCACTTGCTAGTTCAAATGACCTGGGAAAGCAAATGAAAGAAAGGTCATGGAGATTTGAGCAGAGGGTGGGAACAACTCCTGGGTGCTTCTACTCTATTTACTGTTCTGGTAAAAGGGCACAATGACTCGGAATGAAATCATATTCTAAGACAGAAATTCAATACGGTGTGGCGGCCAGAAAGAGGTATGGTCCCCCACAAAGCAGACGGAACACCTTCAGCACCATGGAGAGCCCCATCAGAGGAAGCAACAAGGGCTGGGCCACCCAGTAAGAGGGTTCAGGACCAGGGATAGCTCCAACACAGGTGTTCACTTTTTATCCTCTAACAGGGAGCCTCAGCTGCAGGCTGTTAGGAACAATCAGCCACCACCACATAAAAGGGAACCGAGAGGCCTCAGTAGGCGCTCAGCCGGGGAGATGAGCAGATGCTGAATGCTGGATCGCCCAAGCACAGGACAAGTTCTTAAGGGCGTTCTTGGGGCAGCAGATCAATCTCCCTGAAGGGAAGACAGAAGAGGTGGAGGGTTAGTTAAAGTGTTCAGGCTACTCACGACCCACTGAGCTTCCGCCCTTAAGAACTTGTCCTGTGCTTGGGGTTAGGGCGATCCAGCATTCAGCATCTGCTCATCTCCCCGGCTGAGAGCCTACTGAGGCCTCTCGGTTCCCTTTTATGTGGTGGTGGCTGATTGTTCCTAACAGCCTGCAGCTGAGGCTCCCTGTTAGAGGATAAAAAGTGAACACCTGTGTTGGAGCTATCCCTGGTCCTGAACCCTCTTACTGGGTGGCCCAGCCCTTGTTGCTTCCTCTGATGGGGCTCTCCATGGTGCTGAAGGTGTTCTGTCTGCTTTGTGGGGGACCATACCTCTTTCTGGCCGCCACAACGGACACATTAACATGCTATATTTCACTTTTTGGTGAGCATAAAAACAAACAATTTTATTTTATTTTTTTGCTAAATGTGCATTGGAACACCTGATAAAAGTTTTGTGCTGCCACAGCTTGTCTAATTAGGTCTGTTCCTGCTGAGGGAAAAAAACATGTCGTAGCAGCTTATAAAATGGTCAAGCTTGTTTTCAGAACATATAGCAGCTGGTTTGTTACTGGAAGGTGGTCTACCAGCTCTAACCAGATTTATCGAGGTCTTTCAGGTTTGTCACGGTCCCACCAGCTGGTAGTCAATTTTCTAAATCAGCTAGAAGCAGTTAATGGCCGGAAATGGCCAGCATGGTCCAGCTAAAAGCCATAAAACACCAACTAGGTTACAACATATAATAAAAAGGCTACCATATAAGAGACCCTAATAATTAAATGCAATCACATTATTAGTATACTTCAATATATACTTTTTTTGTAATTGACCTAACCCGTCCTTTGGATGAGACGTTAAACCAAGAAAAGCGCTACATTAATGTAACGAATTATTATCATAATTTAAAAACAACCGTAAATGTTTTGTGTAGGTGATTTGTATTTTTTATAGAGCCTTATCTGTAAATATTTTGTTTATATCATCATCTACAATCTAATAAATTATTTATCTTTATTAAATTTTAATTGAATTCATTACTTATGATTAGCCTTTGGATTAAAAACAGTATTCTTATTCAGTAAACTTCAGCATAGTGTTGGGCAGGAAAGTTTGGTCGTTGATTTATGTTTTATGTTTATTTTTATTTTATATTTGCATTCTATTCAGTGATTGTATTTATGTGTAAACATCCAATTACATTAGTAGCAGCCTACTAGTCTGTAGTAAATACTACTAGGCCTACTACTAGTAATATAATCATAATTTTTATTATTATTGTCAACTTGTATAATCTGTTTTAGCAATGCTTTTCACGAACTTAAAGCGTAGGTATGTAGTTTTGTGTATCTTAACGGCTTTAGAGCCCCCTACAGTTAAAGGTGCACTAAGTGATTTTTGAAAAATGTTTTTGACCACAGTGTCGGAACGAGTCCCAAAACACACTAGTAGCCAATCAGCAGTAAGGGGGCGTGTCTTGCAATGATAGAAAGAAGAGAGCGCTCAATTTGAGTGCACAGGACGGATATTAGCAGATCGACTATAGATAGAGAGGGATGGCAGATAAAAAAGAGGAAAATATCAGAGAAACAAAACATTAAAAAGAAGGGTTACGATCAGGCAAGAGGTAGGACCTGCGTAAATATCGGAGCAGCTTTCCAGTGGTGGAGAGAACTCAAGGAACGGGTTTCTTCTTGATAGGTGGGTAACGTTGATTTTGCTTGGTTTCACACAACTTATCCGTAGTGACTTTTCTTTGAATATACTTGTGTGTCATCTTCGCTTGTTTCCATGATCATCGTTGCCATGGTTACGTACGTATGTGTGGGGTGGAGATTTCAAAATAGGGGAGAGATCCTGTTGGGGTATGGGCGTTTTTTGGTGCTTTCAAATATCCACATCATTTGGCAAAAATCGCTTAGTGCACCTTTAAGTGAGTGGAATTCACTGTCGTAAATATCCCTGTCGTAATTGACCCTTCGCAGGGAGTTTGATCGACAGGCGATCTGACAAATCATAACGTCTAATCTACCATTTTTGTCCAACAAACAAACCAGACAGTAGAGTAGATTAACGTCGGTGGACTTGAACTTGAAAAATGGTGTGTACTGACGGCTTTCCGTGGTTGAAACAAGATACCTTCTGATGTTCATTCATGTTTATTTCATCCTATAACTAGTAGGCTAAAGAGGAAAAGTTCGGTTCAAGTGCCACTTGAACTCAGGCGCTACAGCGATCTGTCACACATTAAAGAGCCACAATATGGTATTTATTGTTTGAATTTCTGAAAAAATGACAAATTTTGAAAGCTGAGACTTTGTTTCATACCTAAAGTAACATGCTCTGTCTTGTCTGTCGGCGTGTTGTGAGTTTTCTCTGTGCTCCGCGATGTATTTTTCACTGATGTGTAGCGCGAGAGCGCCATGGCTTGTCAAACATAGCAACAGCAAAGAATAAGAAGCCATTCAGCCATTAAATGTA